TGGGCAAGCTGCTTTAAATCCTCTCCTTACTTACTTCTGATGCTTCCTGTCTCTTTTCTGATGAATCCAAGCACTCTCTACTAGTTAGTTTCTTCAGAATATGACCATCTACTTACTAATCTGGCTCTTCTCCATGGAGGAGGCACACAATACTTGTGTCTAGTGAGCCATCTTGATCCCTCCAATTTCTCTACTATTTCTTGACAATTGCATGTGAATCTACAATTATCTCAATAAAAAGGTTTTTTCTCTTTACTATACTTCTGTTGAAGTTTAAAGACCTCATTCTACACTGAATCTTATACAAACACTATTTTCTTCAAGTGTTTAGAACTCCATATGGTGCACACTTTGCCTTTGTTGAGCCTTTTAAAAATATTCCCACCTGGTCCCAGGTGCTACAGGTAACCTAGGGAAGCATATTAGAGTTTTCCTTCAAGATGAGAAACCTTCTTCCTGCCCCGTATTTCTGGCTGGAGGACCAATATGGACACCTCAGAGAATGGGGAAGTGTTAGGGAGATTGTGGAAAAGATGAAGCTTAAAAGAGCTGTCCCACAAAGTGGTTAATGAACTCCTGGGCTCAACTCTGAGTTTAGCAGGTGTCAATCTTTCTCTAAATAGCCCACGAAAGGCTTTGGGAATTTAATTACAGACGGGACCACTGGATTCCACACACATAAAACAGATTCAAATTATACAGTGAAGTCTTTGAGAACTGAACAGACCTGTAACCAAACCCCACAAAACGTGTACTGAAACTTGCAGCCTTAACCTGACTAAATCACATGCTTGTTTTAAAAATAAAATCAAAATTATCATTAGAGTTTAAACAAGACTCAGAATCTCATAGCATAATATTTAAAATATCTAGGATATGATTTAAAGCTGTTTAGAGAATGAAGAACAAGGAAAACCACAACTTGCAAGAAGAGAATAGAAATCAGGCAAAACCCTGAGGTAACATAGATGCTGGAATTATCAAAGATTTAAAACAGATATTATAACTATATTAGTTTTTTATTGCTGCTATAACAAATTACCACAAATTTAGTGGCTTAAACAATGCAAATTTATTATGTTAGACTTCTGGAGGCCAGAATTCCAAAATGGATCTCACTGGGCTAAAATCAAGGTATTAGCAAGGCTGCATTTTCTTCTGGAAGCTCTAGGAGAGAATCTGTTTTCCTTGACTTCTCCATCTTCAAAACAACACGGAGCAACACTGGGCTAAATCTTTTTCACACTGCTGTCTCTTTGGTTCTTCCTTTTCTGCCTCTGTCTTCTACTTTTAAAGACTCTTATAATTACATTTGACTCATCTGTATAATTTAAGATAATCTTCCCCATCTCAAGGTCAGCTAATTAGCAAGCAGAATTTACACCTTCAATCTTAGTTCTCTTTTGCCGTGTAACTTAACATATTCACAGGTTTTGAAAAAGAGGACATCAATTTCTTATCCTTGTTCTTCAATAGGTAAAGTTTTCTTTCCTGTCCAGCTTCCATCATAATTTTATGCTTTGTCTTTGATTTTTCTGAAATTTGATATGACATGCCTAGATGTAGACTGGTATTTTTCCTGCTTGGTGCCCTCTGAGCTTCCTGGATCTAGGGGTTGGTATCTGTTATTAATTTTGGAAAAATGTGTCATTATTTCTTCAAATATTTTTTTCTGTTCCTTTCTCTTTATTCTCCTTTTGGTATTTCCCATTATGTGTATTTCTACCTGTTGTATTTGTCCCGCAGTTCTTGGATATTCTGTTCTTTTTTTCTTGCTTTTCCTCTTGTTTTTAGTTTGGGATGTTTCTATTGACATACCCTCAAGCTCCCTTATTTTTTACATGACACGTTCAGTCTGTTCATGAGTTCATCAAAGGTGTTTTTTATTCTGATACAGTGATTTTGATTTCTAGCATTTTGTTTTGATTGTTTCTTAGAGTTGCCGTGTCTCTACATACATTACCCATCTTTTTCTCTTGTGTATATTTTTTGTTAGAGCCCTAAGTATTAATGCCTCTATCATAGTTATTTTAAATTCCTGGCCTGATAATTTCAAAATCGCTACTATAACTAAGTTTGGTTCCAATGATTGCATTGTCCCTTTAGATGGCACTTATTTTTCTTCTGTGTGCCTTGTAATTTTTATTGAAATCTGGACATGATGTAGTTGGTAAACTGGAGCTGAGCTTTTATGTTTATGTGGTTAGGAGTTAGACTGTGTTTACTGTTTACTGTAGATATTGCGTCAGAGGCTACAATTTCCTCCAATGCCCATGTTTATGTTTCTCCTACAGACTTTATCCTGGGGTGTTTCTAGAGACCTCTTTTTAAATAGAGTCTGAGGCTTGCAGTGCTTTTCAATATAATCCTCTTTTTCTGTGCAGGATTCCTATTGAATTGGTTGTAAGATGTGCAGGAGGGGAAGCTTTCTGTAGTGCTGTGATTTAGTCTCAGTATTTTAGTGAGCTTGTGCCCTAAGACTGTGACCTTCGTGTTTGTCAGCCTCCTGTTTTCCTATACCCACATCAATCCTTAGGTGAACTAAGAAAGCCAGAGGGGAGCTGGGTTTCGGTATTTTCCTTACCCCAGGTTGATCGGGTTTTGGTAAAACCCAACTTGGTTAGGCTCTGGTAACATAGTTCCCCTTGTTCTCCTTGTTAAGGAAAACAGAGAGTTCTGAGACATTTAAAAATGGTGGCATCAGGACTAAAAAAAAGGAGAGAACAAAGAGCAAACAATTATTAAAATGGTAGACTTAAATCAAAGCATATTAATAAGAACACTAAATATAAATAGTCCAAACACATTAATGATAAAACAGTGACTGTCAGAACGTATAAAAAAGAAGAAATCAAGCTGGGTACAGTGGCTCATGTCAGTAATCCTAGCACTTTGGGAGGCTGAGGCTGGCAGATTGCTTGAACTCAGGAGTTTAAGACCCACCTGGACAACATGGTGAAACCCCAACTGTACAAAAGACACAAAAAATAGCCAGGTGCTGGTGGCTTATGCTACCTGGGAGGCTGAGATGGGTGGATCACCTAAGCCTGGGGGGTCAAGGATCCAGTGAACCCTGATCATGCCACTGCAATTCAGCCTAGGTGACAGAGTGAGACTCCATATAAAAAAAAGAAAAAGAAAAAGGAAAGAAATCAACCATAAGCTAGCATCCATCTTAAATATAAAGATATAGGTATATTAAAAGTAAAATGACAAACATAGATATACCATGCAAATCCTAAACAAAATAATGCTTGTATGAATTTACTAATATCAGACAAAGTAGATTTCAGAACCAGGAAAATTACCAAGAACAAATGAGATCATTATGTAATGATAAAGGTGACGATTCACCCAAAATACGTAACAACCAATACATGTATGTACATCTAATAGCAGAGCTGCAAAATATTTGAAGAAAAGCATATATAAATAAAAAGAAAGGAAAATTCAGAATCATAGTCAACAACATTAACATTGTTCTGAGTAATTGATAAAATATGTAGAGAGAAAGTCAGTTTAGTGGGTTGAATGATGGCCCCCTAAAAATTAGTCTACCTGAAACCCCTGAATATGACCTACAGTGGTCCCCCTTAAATCTGCTGAATATGTGTTCCAAGACCCCAGTGCATGCCTGAAACCGCAGACAGTACCAAACCCTATATGGTATAAGTGCTGTTTTNAGTAATTGATAAAATATGTAGAGAGAAAGTCAGTTTAGTGGGTTGAATGATGGCCCCCTAAAAATTAGTCTACCTGAAACCCCTGAATATGACCTTATAGTGGTCCCCTTTAATCTGTGGGGATACGTTCCAAGACCCCCAGTGGATTACTGAAACCAGGCACAGTGCCGAACCCTATATATCCTTTTTTTATACATATATACCTATGATAAAGTTTAATTTATAAATTAGCCACAGTAAGAGATTAACAAAAATAACTAAAATAGAACAATTGTAACAACATACTGTAATAAAAGTTATATAAATGCAGTTTTTCTCTCTGTCTCTTTCTCTCTCTTAAAATATTTTATTGTACTGTACTTATCTATTTTTGGACCATGTTTGACCATGAGTAACTAAAACCATGGATAAGGAAGTGCCACGATATTTAGAAAAAGACTCTTTGATGATGTAAATAAGTTAAGGGGCTCAAGATGTGATCATCCTGGATTAAGGGGGATCCTACATCCTTTTAAGAGAAGAAGAGGGAAAAATAAACACAGTGGGGAAGGTTACATAAAAATGGAGGCAGAGATTGAAGTAAAATATCTGCAAGCCAAGGAATACCAAGGATTACTGGAAACCACCAGAAGTTAGGAGAAACATATAGAATATATTCTTCCTCAAAGCCTCCATAAGGAACTCACCCTGTTGACACCTTGATCTCAGACTTCTGTCCTCCAGAACTATAAGAGAATAAATTTAGGTTGTTTTAAGTCACTAAATTTGTGATGATTTGTGATGTCAGCCCCATGAAACTAATATGGTCAGCAAAAATATAGAAGAACTAGAGAACACAACCTTTCAACTAAATCTGATTGACATTCATAAAACACTTTCTCCAACAACAGTGGAATATACATTCTTTCCCACTGCACATGAAACATGTACTACATCGTCCTCTGTTGTCTGCCTTGTTGATACAGAAAATGATAATATGATTTTTAAAAAGAAAAGTCAAGTGAGGGGATAGCAAAAGGAAAAACTCTAAAATTGAACCATAAAATAATACATATTTATTATATCTAGTTAATTTTTAAGCCAGTGACTCCTAAAGGAAGCCATCTCCTGGCAGGAGAGGAAGTCACACTATATGGAAACCAATTTTGATGATTTGAAACCAATTATGATGATTCCATAACCAAAAACCGATTAGTATTGATTTTTGATATTTAATTTATCACACTGAAAGATGTAAAATAAGCCATAGTAATTTATATTGAAAAGCAAGCCCTATTATTTGCTGATAATATATTATTTTACCTTTCAATATTTCAGTTCTTGTTCAGCTTGGAAAACCATATTACCCTGAACCAAGGGAACATCTTCAAAAAACTATCACGCTCTGAAGCACCATTGTGTCCAGCAGTTTCACCAAAAAAGACTGAACTGAGAATAAAGGAAATCATGGAGAAACTAGACCAGCAGATCCCACCCAGACGTTTCACCCATGTGAACACCACCACCAGCGCCACACACAGCACAGCTACCATCCTCAACCCTCGAGACTCGTACTGCAGGGGGGACCAGCTGGACATCCTGCTGGAGGTGAGGGACCACTTGGGACGCAGGAAGCAATATGGCGGAGATTTCCTGAGGGCCAGGATCTCCTCCCCAACTCTGATGGCAGGTGCTTCAGGAAAGGTGACTGACTTCAACAATGGCACCTACCTGATCAGCTTCAGTCTGTTCTGGGAGGGCCAGGTCTCCCTGTCTCTGCTGCTCATCCACCCCAGTGAAGGGGCATCAGCCCTCTGGAGGGCAAGGAACCAAGGCTGTGATAGGGTCATCTTTATTGGCCTGTTTGCTAACAGAACCTCCAATGTTTTCACTGAATGTGGCCTGACCCTAAACACAAATGCTGAACTGTGCCAGTACTTGGATGACAGAGACCAAGAAGCCTTCTACTGTGTGAGGCCTCAACATATGCCCTGTGAGGCTCTGACCCATATGACCACTAGGACAAGAAATATTTCCTATCTTAGCAAGGAAGAATGGAGCCTTTTCCACAGGTAAAGAGGCTTTCAAATACAATAATAGATAAAAAGAGGTATCCAACGAGACCCTGCCTAGTAGTTTTGCCTAATCAAGTTTTTGTATCATGTCAATTATGTTGACTAAATTATAATTAGGTCCTCTGAGTCAGTTCAGCTTGTAGTGTGTTCACAGGGACCCATACAAGTCACCTCTGGAACTATTTGCTGACAGGCATATAAGCACTTAATATAGACCTATAGTTCTCCGTGGTGTGCAATACTTCCAGGTTCAGTAATTTTTTATAGACCTATGTTTTCTATAATGTGTTCCATGGAATACAAATCCTATAGTGTATTAATAGATGCTATGCAATAAAAAAAGTGAATGATATCATTGTTCAGTCCAGCTTTACCCTTTACATCCAGTGAATCATTAAGTTCTAGATATTATACCTCCCAGCTATGTCTTGAACCCAGCCATTTCTGTCTACTGCTATTGCCTCTATCCTTGCATAAGCTGTCATTGTATCTCAGATCACTGCAACAATCTCTAGAGCTGATTTCTCTGCCCTCAGTCTTGTTTCTTCAAATCCATTCTCCACACTGCACCTAGGCTAATGTTTTTGAAATGCAGTTATGTCTTTTACTATTTCCTACTTAAAAGCTGTAAGATGATCCCATGGCTCTAAGGGTGAAATTTAAACTCTTTAATATGTTTACAAGGACTTTCCTCCTTTGGCAGCCTGTTGTCCCACCTTCATGCAGCCTTGCTCTCTGTCGGTCAATGGAACTCCTTTTATTTCACAAATGGACCATGTCCTCTCACCTTTGGCATTTCACAGGCTTTGGTTTGGATATCATTTCCTCCAGGAAACATCCTACATCCCTGGGTGAAGTACTAGTCCTATATTCTTCCCTTAGCATTTTGTTCTTCCCTAATGTAATTCTTATTACATTATTAATTTTCCAATTTCTATTTAATATCCTCTGTTAAGTTGTAAGCTCCGCAGAGCATTAAGTTTTAACTACTTTTCACCATTCATTTACTTTTTTGTTTTTGAGACCAAGTCTCTGTCACCCAAGCTGGAATGCAGTGGTGTGATCTCAGCTCACTGCAATCTCCACCTCCTGGGTACCAGCAATTCTCCTGCCTCAGCCTCTCGAGTAGCTGGGATCACAGGCACCTGTCACCATGCCTGGCTAATTTTTGTATCTTTAGTAGAGATGAGGTTTCACCATGTTGACCAGACTAGTCTTGAACTCCTGAGCTCAGGTGATCTGCCCACCTCAGCCTCCCAAAATGCTGGGATTTTAGGCATGAGCCTTCATGCCCAGCCCATTCTTTTAATTTATAAGTAGTCAGTACCTTCTGTAGTCCAGACACAGCACTAGGTATTGGGAATTAACATCCCAGTGGGATAGAAGGACAAAAAGTAAATAAACAGATTTATATTAGAAAGTCATAAGAGTAAGGGTTTCAAATGTGATGACTGATGATGTTTTAAAATGGTGATCAGGTAAGGCCTGTTTTGAGCAGCAACCTGAGTGAAGTGAGGGAGTAAGCTATGTGAATTTTCGGGAAATATCATTCTCAAGAGAAGGAATAGGACCTGAGGCAAGAGTATGTTGGAATGTTCCAGGAACCATGGTGGGGGTGGAGTGCAGTGAGGCTGGAATGCAGGAAGTGAGGAATAGAGAAGATGAGATAGGTAGGCAGGGCCTTAGAAGTCATCTGTGTCTGTCAGGAAGTCATCGAAGGCCAGTATTTTGTCTCACAGGCCTAGCACAACGCCTGACACTGAGAAAGTTCTGAATAACTATTTGTTGAATAAAAATATAAGTGAAATAATACAATCTGGAGAAATAATTAGAGTACTTTCGTTGCAGCAGGACTTCTCAGAAACTTTAATATGTATCCCATCAAGCAAGACTACAGCATAGAGCATTTCCCAAATTTATTTGGCTACAGGCTATGATGATGGTCATGTCAGAGTAACCACCTGAGATGTTTATCACACCTGGCGGGGGGTCCTGTCCTGCAAACCCTGACTCCATGATGGATGAATAAATATACTCAAACACAGAATACAGTGAACGAGTGGGCTAGGGAGGTCATCAGCTGCTTTCAGAGGGCAATTGCAGCTACCCAAGCCCCCACTCGCTGTTTCTCCTCACATTTATTCAGCATAGATTTAATAACAGTTTCTAAATCAACATGCTTATGGGTAGTTAAAAGAGTGGTTTTACGAATGATAAAAGGTTTGGTTCTGGGGCCCAGAGCAAATGCCATTAATGGGTAATTTCCCTGGTTGACCTCTGCTCCAGAGGCCCATAGGGCACAAAGTTTACATGAGTAAACAAGCTAGTTGAGTAGAGACAAAGGAATGTAGGGTAAACAGACTTAACTGGGGAAGCTTCTCTTATCCCTAATGACCTAATATTCCTAATGGCCACCTTCAGCCTGTTCCATTATTACAAGTTATGAAAACCTTTCAGCCTTGCAAATGGTTTGAGACTGTATCTTATCACTTTCCCTAATATTTTCCTTAATATTTTGCCAGCCACCTGGAGTGTATCCCAACAACAGACCACTTATTTTATGGATCATTTAAAGAGATTTTCGTTCCACAGTTTGGGAACTGCTGCTATAGAAATGCTTTAGTTTTCTTATATGTGTTCAAAAGGGCATATTTCCAGGATAGCACAATATCTTGGAAATTCAAGTTCAAATCCAGTGTAAGCATTATGATGACACAGAGGGCTGGGTACAACTGGCCCTACCTCACTACAGGCTCTCCCTTTCACTCCTACATCACCTTCACTTCTTTACATTTTCCTGATCAAGGTATGGAAAAATCTCTTTATCCCCTATGGCTCAGCTAAAAGAAGCTGGGATTTTAAAAATAAATGTTTATGAAGCAAAGGAAAAATGATCATAGAAACATAAAGATCTTCCTGCCTTGAAGGTCTCAGAACCATGTCTTAGGTCTAAGGGCAGGGGCCACCAGTGCCTGATTCTATATTCCGTGTTGGCTACAGCTGGACCCTCTTGAGGTAGTCCTCAATGAAGCCTGAGTTGGAGGTACCATCTTTGCACAGTTCCTGACTGTGTTTCAGGAAATCCAAAGTCCCTAGTCTGGCAGACAGGCACATATTTTGGGTCTTAATCATGCTTCTCAAGGGTGTTGTGCTCATGATGGTAATCATGATAGTAACCTGCTTTATTTCCCAGTAGATATAAGTCCTTCCCAGATCCCCTGCTCTATTCAAGCTATCAAGTTCTTCTCCCCCCACTGCATGGAAAGAGAGATTTCCGTCTCCTTACAGTTGATGTAGTGCATATGCAAGGAAAAGCTGATTACATATCCAAGAAGTCTCATGGACCATTCTATTGCTAAGCTCTAGGGCCCCTTCCTAGACCCAAGCCCAGTTCTTTGACATCTTTCCTGCTCACCAGTACAAGGACTAAGGCAGTTTCTGTTTCATTTGTAACATGGTACAGTCGACCCTTGAACAACCCAGATTTGAACTGCACAAATCCACTTATATCCAAAGATTTTTCAACCAAATGTGGGTCAAAAATATAATATTCACAGGAGGCAAAAACCTACATATATGGAGAGATGACTTTTCACATACTTGGGCTCTGTGGGGCTGAATGCAGGACTTGAGCTTTTCGTATGCTGATTTTCATAGATGCGGTGGGGGTTCTGGAACCAATCTCCCGCATATACTGAGGGACGACTGGAAATACATTTTCCCACTTCAGTTCTCTCTCCCAACCCTGGCTGCAGAATCAGAAATGTTGCGTCCTAAGATATTTATTTCTTCAAATTAAAAAAAAGTCTTTTGCTTTTTGAGAGTTTTATGGATAATCATGATAAAAAAATAAATGAGGGGTTACCGTAGGAGAAGACATCACATAGGTAACACAATTGTTCACAATTCTGTTAGTTACTATTGTGGTCTAATTAATTATAGACCCCTTTTAAAAATTTAATGCACATACACAATTACAAAAACAGGAGACATTAAGATGAATTTCTTTATACCATTAATACGTAGTTTTAATCCTAATTTTAATGTAGCATCAAACTTTCTTTGGTAACCAAATTTACAAGGTAGCCAGGTCTTGATCTCTGTTGTTATCCTCAGCCTTACCTGAGACTGGTATGGGAGAATAGAGGTTTGGTCAGGCTCCAATTTCTTAGAGACAAACCTTAGTCTTGTGCCAAAAATAGGTCTGATGGGATCCTCAATAATAATAACTGCAATGATTTGTTGAGCACCTACTATATGTCAACGTATATTTAGATGCCTCCTTTATATTACAACATTAATCCTCTGTAAAAGACTCTGGAGTGACTATTAATATGCTCATTTTATAGATGAGGAAATTTAGGCATATTAAATAGGTTGGCCAAAGTCATATATCCAGTTGAGTTGCAGAGTCAGAACTGGATTCTCAGTTGGCCTTATTCTGAAGTCAGTGGGCCCTAGAACTGTCTCCCATGACTCCACCACTCCACGCAGCCATCACGTCTAGCCACCCTGATCACTCAGTTCTTCAGTTCTCTGGCCTTCTTGATGAAGGGGATATTATCCTCGCTTGACTCAAAAACTCATTTCCTGAGACTCAGGAAATTCTTTTCAATCTTAGAAAGTACTTTCTCTATCCCTCTTGAAGGTTTCTGTGGCTCTGGCTCTGAAAGGGCATACCTCCCCCCAGATGGATTTCATTCTGATAGAATGAATTCAGCTTGGCCAGACATAGTCACCATAGTCATTGGGACTGATACCTTGAGGTGAAGCTCACTGTGCTGGGCACTTGAAATATTATAGTGAATAATATTGACTTGATTCCTACCTGAGGGAGATAACAGACTATGAAAAATAGACTCCTGGGAACTCATGAAGGTGAAGAGTAGATGAAGATGAATCTGGTGACATAGACAGCTTCATCCTTCATCGGACAGGAGGTTTTTGTGGTAGTTAGGGAGGTTTTCCTGCATATTGATGGCAGAAAGTCATGGAAACATTTTACGTAGGGGAAATAAAACAGGTAGCATGGAGGTTCTATTTAGGTGGGATAAACCAAAAGGGCAGAACGATAGTATTATGATAATCTAGAACAAGGTTCTCAAAGTAATGTCCCTGAACCACTGACTCTGGGTTTGCCCAAGAGCTTATTATTATAGAAGTCGAAATTCTTGAGAATTTGCCCCAGAACTATTGAATCAGAAATTCTGGGGGTGAGTCTCAGCAGTTGGAGTTATAGTAAGCACTGCAGGTAATTCTGATGAACACTGAAGTTTGAGAAGCACTGGCCTAGGAAAACGTTGATGAGGGCCTGAATTACTACAGATGGAAAAGGTGGAGAGGATGGTTTGTGGTAGAGAGCCATTTAGAAGGTAAAATTAAAAGAAGGATATATAGATAGATATATAGATAAATAGATATATATATATAGATAGATAGATATTAGATAGATTTGATAGACTGCACATGGAGGGTGAGTGACTTTCTTTGGATCTCTAGATTACCTGCCATTGGCAGAGGAAGAGCTTTCCAGAATCCTGACCCACTTACTTCCCCAGGATATCTTAAATATATCAAAATAATGGAGAAAAGGCATTTGGACAAGCGTGGTTTAACCCATCTAAACCAGTGATTCTTACTTTATTATCTGGGTAGATATTAAGCTAATTTATTTTTCCATTTCTTGCAGGTCCAACATGGGAGTTGAAATGATGAAGAACTTTACCCCCATTGAAGTCGTACCATGTGACAGTGAGTCTGGAGTGTTGTTGCCTGCCATGGTCACAATTTATTCACTTTAAGGACATGCTTACTTAGAGATATTTATTCCACATTAACCATTTGATCTCTCATTTCCTGGGACAAATTATATCAACCTCCTTGGGTTTTAGAGAAGGGATTTTATTCTTGAAAATTATTTTCATGTCAATTTAAACCAATTTTCACCCCAAGTCAGATATAAAAGGCTAGGGAAACCATTAATTTCAGTGGTACCTTCTCAAAATGTACAGGCTGTTTGTATTTAAATTTGAGATTTATTCCTCCAGAGCCAAAGATCAGGTGCTGGTGCTATGTGAAAAATGTCTCAGATGAGCTGCACAGATTCAGAGTTAGGACATTTCTTTGGTGGTTTCTAATTTCTCATTTAGCCAAGCCATCTTACTTAAAGTTCTATGAACTAGACATTTTTGTGAATTTTTTTCTCAGTTTAATAACACGAACTTTAACTGTCAACACAAAACCATTTCATTCATAGATGTGATGTTTCTGCTACATTGGAAATAAAGTGAATTTCAAAATTAAAGTAAAGCAAAGGACTTCCATTATAACAATCAATGAGGTATAACATTTACTCATTACCCCTTTTCATGCATTCAGCAAATGTTTACTGGGGACCTACTGTGTACAAAGAACTTTGCTAGATCCTGTGGAAAACATAAATACAAATAAATCATGAACCCAGATTTAAAGCTCACAATCTATGAAGAAGACAGATTCCTTCTCTGCTAGGGCAACTGTCATTCACACCCAACTTTTACACTGAAGAAAGTTCTTAGACTCTTGAGGCAACTTGAATGCTCATAACACCTCTTTTGTTTCCCTCTTGGCTGGACAGTAATTTCTAGTAAAGCCAGGTAGTTTCTTGGAAGATAAGTACCAGACTGTAATTTTTGAAGCCAATTACAAATCTGATGTAATTCAATATGAATAAATATAAGTCCCTAAATGTATACACCTTACCCCAACAATGCAGGTAGATGACAAAGAAGATGTGCATATTAAGTGGTGAATATAAAAGTGGTCTCAGAAACTTGCCTGGAGGAAAACTCAAAAGGAGTCAGTAAATACAGTTTAGGCTATTTGAATAGAGGAGTGTTCAGAAGAGGGAGGTCATGATCCTACCCTTTTCTGTGTTAGTGAACTCACAGTGAGAATATTACATTCAGTTCTAGACACAACTAAGATTTGAGGATTTAAAAAAATTATTAGCCAGAGAAGATGATTCTGGGACACACAAAATAAACAATGTGTGACACTCATTTCATAAACACGTTCAAGCTTCTTTTCCTGGAGATGTAGTTTGAGGAAGATGAGATTTACAGTTCAGCAAGGCCAATGTCATTGGTGTAATATTTGTCAGGGCCACTGTGTCCTGCTATTTCACGGTCACACATTGCCTCCTGACTCTGGCTGGCTGTTCCACAGCAGAGTGGCTCTGGGGACAAGGTGGAGCCCAGGGAGACACTGCAAATGCATGAGTCAACTGATCCCCACTCCAAGGAAAACTATTCAGTGAGAACTTTTAATTCATCCTTTTAACGTGATCTTACTAAATTAATATTTGTGGAAGAGAGGAGGGCAAAATAGAGCTGAGGAGAAAGGTGGAGGAAAAAGAGGAAAACGAAGGCAAGAATGAGGAACATGTTTCCAAAATGATTTGTGGTAATAAAAGTTACTTACTCTGGAAATTTGTATCTCCAGAGAGCGAGAACATAAAAAAGAACTGCCAGATTGGAATGAGGACTCCTTTCCCCAGTGGTTATACTTTGAAAAAAATGTGGATTACAGCATTTTGTAAACAGAACAAGTTCAATGAAACAAAAAATATAAATGACTGCTTGGAAAGAAAACTTATTTATCTCATGGGAGATTCAACACTGCGTCAGTGGATTTACTACTTACAAAAAGCTGTGAAAAGTATGTATTTAATTTGTATTTTGAAATAATATTTTACTTTTGAAGGTTTTGAAATAATAATTAGAATTCTTTTCTTTTCTAATATTATTATTTTATTTAATTTGCCAAACTTTTGCCTTCAGGCTTTTATTAAAAATTTAATTTTTATCTTTTCATTCACAAGTGTTAATATTTTTCTTCCTCATCATATATTCTCATAAAAATTTCAAGATTTTGTTAAGATTGTAATGCACCTGGTAAAATTATCAACCCTATATAGGCAGCAATGAATTGTAGTTAGAAGTGATCTTGGTTCGAATCTTATACACATTGCGTGTAGTTGAAAGTTATATCATTTTCCTTTTGTTAAAAGATTTATTGATTTGTCTTCCATCAGCCTTAAAATATTTTGATCATCATGGAGCTGGGATCTTTAAGACACATGTTCTTCTGGATGCTGAAAGACATATTTTGATTCAGTGGAAAAAACATGGACATCCATTTGTTACCAAAAAGCTATTCTCAGTGAAAGATGAAAACTATATCCCGCGGGAAATTGACCGGGTAGCAGGAGACCAAAACACGGCCATTGTCATTACCCTCGGCCAGCACTTCAGACCCTTTCCCATCAACATTTTCATCCGTAGGGCCATCAATATTCAAAAGGCCATTGAACGTCTATTCTTGCGAAGCCCAGAGACCAAGGTGATACTTAAAACTGAAAACACCAGAGAGTTACATCAAAATGCAGAGATGTTTAGTGACTTTCATGGCTATATTCAGAATCTTATCATAAGGGATATTTTTGTGAATCTTAATGTGGGCATTATTGATGCCTGGGACATGACAATTGCATATTGCACTAATAATGCCCATCCGCCTGATTACGTGATTCAGAATCAGATTGGCATGTTCTTAAACTACATTTGTTAGAGGAAAAATATAAAAATAGCACTAGCCACTTTCTATAGATGATCTTACATATATAGCAAAGATAGTTTAATGCAATACAAGGTTTGAGGAAACTAAATTTGAAAAAGTTTCATTATAGTTAAATATATATAGTTAAATAAATATATATATATATAAATAAAATTTACTATTTAAGCCATTTTTATTATTTTATTATATTGTATTTTTGAGATGGAGTTTCAATCTTGTTACCCAGACTGGAGTGCAATGACATGATCTCGACTCACTGCAGCCTCTGCCTCCCAGGTTCAAGTGATTCTCGTGCCTCAGCCTCCCAAGTAGCTGGGATTACCAGCTCCCGCCACCATGCCTGGCTAATTTTTGTATTTTTTAGTAGAGGTGGGTTTCACTATGTTGGCCAGGCTGGTCTTGAACTTCTGACCTCAGGTGATCTGCCCACCTCAGCCTCCCACAGTGATAGGATTACAGGTGTGAGCCACCGTGCCTTATTTTATTTTAAGTTTTCAAGACAATCTCACTCTGTCACCAAGACTGGAGTACAGTGGCGTGATCTCAGCTCACTGCAATCTCTACCTCCCAGGTTCAAGTGATTCTCCTGACTCAGCCTCCTATGTAGTTAGGATCACTGGCGTGCACCACTACACCCAGCTATAAACAATTTTTAAGTGTACAATTCAGTGGTAATAAGTTATTTACAGTATTGTGAAACCATCATCATGATCCACCTCTGGCACATTTTTAACATTTCAAAAAGAAACTTGGAACCAATTAAATAATAACTCCCCATTCACTCCTGTCCTTGACCCATAGCAACCACCATTGTATTTTCTGTCCTGAATTTGACTATATTAGGTAGCTCATATAAGTCAGAACATGTAGTATTTGTCCTTTTCTGTCTGGCTAATTTCACATAGCATAATGTTTTTAAGGTTCATCTATGTTGTAGCATTTGTCAGAATTTTCCTTCCTTTTTAAGGCTGAATAATATTCCATTGTATGTATGTACCACATTTTGTTTATCCATTCATTTGTTGATTGACATTTGGGTTGTTTTCCCCTTTTGGCTACTGTGAATAGTGCTACTAGGAAGAGGAAATCAAATTTAAAGGCATGTCTCCAATGCTGAGCATGATGACTGAATAGCAAATGATCATCATCCATAATTTGAAAACATGTGCAGCCCAGGAATGCATAGATTCAAGTTTAGAGAAATGATTCAAATTTAGAGAAAATGTCATGTATACAGGAAAACTTAGTAGGACCATAATAGCAGTCTTCTTGCTTAGGAAAATTATTTGGAATTTAGTAACCAGTTGTTCTCTAGATCCTAGTAAAAATCATGGATCACAATCCAAAACCCACAGGTTCATTGAGAGAAACCAACTTAGCATTATGTTAATGTACAGACCCCAGAACCCTGATTCTTGGACATCATAAAATATGATGTGGGACCCCCTCCAGAGAGCCTCAAATGACAAATTTTGTCTCTAAATCTTCCTCTCATTATAAAGATACACACTCTTTCTATTAATATACTCTAGGTCTCAAGAGTATATTAGGGAATATTGTTATCAAGGATACTTCCCCTGTTAGGACTGTGTTTCTTAGTTAGAGAAAGTGAAATTATAATGCTGTAACACCAGTAGAAAGTCTGGGTCATACAGCTTAGCACTAGACTCCTTAGCACGTTAGAAATTTCTTCCTTGTATCAAGTTACTTATTGATTCTAATTCCTCCTTTAGAAAACTTTCAAAGTAAATTTAATTATTCTTCCAAACATTGCACTGTTAATTGTTTAAATGAATCATCATTTTCCCACCAAGGCCACCTCAAATTCCTTCAACCTAGTTCTGATATAATATAGTTACTAGTTTTCTTACTTCACTCTTCACATGCACTGAAGGTTGTCTATATCACTCTACAACTCACTCTGCAATGTGTCTTCTACCCGATCTCTCACCTCAACAAATTGAATGCTTTAATTTAAATGTGATAAATCAGCCCCTATGAAAGAGGGTTTATTATTTCTCTTGTTCTAGAATTGCACTGTACAACACAATAGCCATTAGTTGCATATGGCTGTTTAAATTTAAATTAAATTAAAAAATTAGTTTCTCAGTTGCACTATTCACATTTCAAGGGTTCAACAGCCACTTGGAGCTAGTGGTACTGTACAGACAGCATAATATTTGCTTGCATTTTTCTCTAGAGAGTATTTTTTAATGTTTTGTCATTATACTTGGTTGTATGTTTAAAAGTAAATTCCATGATACATTATAATTTTTTATGGTGAGTAAAAAAAAAATCACCAAATGTTGGTAAGTGTCAAGTCCCTGACTTTTTTTTTTTGTACTTTAGGTTCTCGAGTACATGTGCAGATTATGCAGGACTGTTGCATAGGTACACACATGGCAATGTGGTTTGCTGCCTCCGTCCCCCTGTCACCTACATCTGGCATTGCTCCCTATGTTATCCCTCCCCAACCTCCTGACCCCCCTGCTGTCCCACCTTTGGTCCCCCCAAACAGACCCCAGTTTGTGATGCTCCCCTCCCTGTGTCCCTGTGTTCTCATTGTTCAACACCTGCCTGTGAATGAGAACATGTGGTGTTTGATTTTCTGTTCTTGTGTCAGTTTACTGAGAATTATGGTTTCCAGATTCATCCATGTCCCTACAAAGGACATGACACGAACTCATCATTTTTTATGGCTGCATAGTATTCCATGGTGTATATGTGCCACGTTTTCCTTGTCCAATCTATCATTGATGGGCATTTGGGTTGGTTCCAGGTCTTTGCTATTGTAAACAGTGCCACAATGAACATACTTGTGCATGTGTCTTTAGAGTAGAACGATATACAATCCTTTGGGTATATACCCAGTAATGGGATTTCTGGGTCAAATGGAATTTCTATTTCTAGGTCCTTCAGGAATCACCACACTGTCTTCCACAATGGTTGAACTAGTTTACACTCCCACCAACAGTGTAAAAGTGTTCCTAGTTCTCCACATCCTCTCCAGTATCTGTTGTCTCCAGATATTTTAATGATTGCCATTCTAACTGGCGTGAGGTGGTATCTCAATGTGGTTTTGATTTGCATTTCTCTAATAGTCAGTGATGATGAACATTTTTTCATATGTTTGTTGCTCACATAAATGTCTTCTTTTGATAAGTATCTGTTCATATCCTTCACTTACTTTTGGATGGGTTTGTTTGTTTTTTTCTTGTAAATCTATTTTAGTTCTTTGTAGATTCTGGATATTAGCCCTTTGTCAGATGGGTAGATTGCAAAATTTTTTCCCATTCTGTTGGTTGCTGGTTCACTCTAATGATTGTTTCTTTTGCTGTACAGAAGCTCTGGAATTTATTTAGGTCCCATTTGTCTAATTTGGCTTTTGTTGCCAATGCTTTTGGTGTTTTAGTCATGAAGACCTTGCCTATGCCTGTGTCCTGAATGGTTTTGCTTAGATTTTCTTCTAGGGTTTTTATGGTGTTAGGTCTTATGTTTAAGTCTTTAATCCATCTGGACTCCTTCCTGACACCTCACACTAAAATCCCTGACTTTTAAGCCATTTACTTCTTGTTTGTTTTTTAAAGAAGTCTTGGTATCTAAATGTTTCATAATGTTTTGGCTTAAAGTGATAGCTTCAGGTTATTGCAGATATTGACTATATTGCTAATATATAAGACTTGAGCAAGCCATTTGAAATCATAGAAACATTCTCTGTTGGTATTATCAGACCTCTTTCAAAAACCCATTTATGCACAATGGAATGAAACAAAACTAGAAATCAATAGCAGAAGGAAAATAGCAAAATCCATAAATATTTAGAAATTAAACATTGCACTCTTAAACAGCCTATGGGTTAAAGAAGAACACACAAGGGGATTTAGGAAATAGCTGGAGACAGGTGAAAACAAAAATACAACACATTCAAACATATGGGATGCAGTGAGAGTGGCACTAACAGGAAAGTTCAGAGCAATAAATGCTTACATGAAAAAAACAGTTTATAAATTAACAACCTAACACTGCACTTCAAGGAACTAGGAAAAGAACAAACAAAGCCCAAAGTCAGGAGAAGGAAGGGAATAATAAAGATTAGAGCAGAGATAAGGGAAATAAAGTAAAGCATAAATCATAGAAAAGATCAACAAAACTAAGAGTTGGCTTTTCAAAAAGATCAAAAGTGTAACAACTCATAGCTAGACTAAGAAAAGAGAGAAGACTTAAAAAATTAAATTTATAAATGGGCAATGAGACATTACAATGGATGCCACAGAAATAAAAAAAAGATTACAAGAGACTACTATGAACAATTGTACACTAACAAATTGTATAACCCAGAAGAAATTGATAAATTCATAGAAACATATAACCTATGAAGACTGAATCATAAAGAAATAAAACATTTGAACGGACCTATAACTGAGAGGACATTGAAACAGTTATCAAAAACCTTTCAATAATAACAATAACAATAAAAAGCCTAGGCCCAGATGGCTTCAGTGGAGAATTCTATTAAACATTTAAAGAATTAACACCAGTCCTCAAACTCTCCCAAAAAATAAGAGGAAGGAATTCTCCCAAACTCATTCTATGAGGCAAGCATTACCCTGATACCAAGACAAAGACAAGAAAAGACAATTACAGGCCAATATCCCTGAGAAGCATAGATGCAAAGACCCTAAAAGATAAGGAATAATAGCAAACAGAATTCCATAGCACATTAAAAGCATCATATACCATGACCAAATGGCAATTATACCTGAACAATGATGGCCTAACATATGAAAATCAATCAATATAATGTGCCACATTAACAAAATGAGGAACAAGAACCACATGATCATCTCAATTGATGCAGGAAGAGCATTTGACAAAATTCAACATCCTTTCATGATAAAAACATTCAATAAACTATGAATAGAGGGAAACTATCTCAACATAATAAACGCCATATATGAAAAGCCCACAATTAACACCATATGAAACTAGGAACAACTAATTTTCCTTTAAGATCAGGAACAAAGCAAAGATGCCCATCCTGGCTGCTATTCAACATAGTACTGAAATTTCCAGCCAGAGCAATTAAAACAAGAACAACAAAAAAAGAGATAAAAGACATACA